TATACCATAGAAAAAATTGATGAAAAACTGGGTCAAAAATATTACTATGTATCAGGGAACGATACTCGCCCTTATCTGCGCTTTGAGTTGTTAAAAGCTTAATTTTTCTTTTGATAAAAGATTTTCTTAAGAAAACACTTAAAGAAATAGTACCTATATATATATATATATTAGCAGGGAAATGTTCAAGTTCGAAAGTTGCTGGAAGTGCGAAGAAACGATAAAAGCAAGGACATTAAATAAAATATTGCCGATTGATATATGTAATCGTGTTTGCGAATACGATAAGTGTAATAAATGTAGGATGAAGATACTAAACATGAAAGATTTAGATGAACACCCCAGATTTTCAAAACTAAACAAAGTACAAAAAATATTAATACACTTGCTATATCGTAACCATGACATTGATACACATATGAATAGGCGAAAATACAAAAACATCATCAGAAGGTCAAATAACCCACTGCGAAAGATAATGAATCAGTTTATGAATATCAGAAACCATTCAGACCGCGAGCGTCTTATGTTTCATGGTGTATGTCACGTGATGCTAATGTATTGTGTTATTAACAATTTGCACAATGTAGAAGAAGTGAGAGAAAAAATCACTTACTATAAAATCAAAAGCGCTACTATGAGATTTAACGGCTTTGTCATTAGCAAAGAAGTTATAGTAAAGGAAATAGTACGCGAATGTTTTGATTTTTGGCTGGTCGGTTGGAGGGATTATTATAACACCACAACAGAGGAAATTATGGAGTATGTAGAGTATGTATTTTCGCTATAGTTTAGCAACCATAACCTGATTCATAATTTTATAATGTTATGGTTGGTGACCATCCTAAACCCCAATCATTCAGTAAGTTGACTTTTAAATGTTAATTTTGGTGTGTTTTTGTTTTTCGTTTGTTTGTGTATAGGGTTTTCAAGGTTTTGCAGCTTTAAAGCCGTTATGTTTCAACATTTTGGGTTTTTTTGTTGTATTTTTGCTTTTATTGCTTTATTTTAAATATTGTTTTTTGTATAAATTAACCAAGGCAGTTGCAGAGGTAGAAGAGCGGCCGGGAACGAGGATGCAGGTAGGCTCATCTGTCTCCTTGCGCAGGGTGGAGTGGGAGTTTGAGTGAGGTTGCGTTGGATTGGCGCACACGCACAGCTGACGCTTTTTGACGCCTGGGAGTGCTGTGCAATGAGAGTTTGCCATGGCCTTTGGCAAGTTGCCCAGTCTGTGCTGTCTCATGCCACTAGGCTAGTGGGATTGGCAACCCCCTACGGGTGGGATTGGTGATCCCCGAAAGCTTGTTAAGTGGGACTAGTGATCCCCGAAGCCCTGCGTGATGGGATTGGTGATCCCCGACACCCTGCTCAATGGGATTAGTGATCTCCGAAACCCTGCCGAATGGAATTGACAACACCCTCCAACTGGGGCTGGTAAAGCCCTCCGAACTACATCTACATTGGTGACAACCCTTAACCCCAAACCCTGAACCAAATTCCAGAAGACCCCCTTTGCCTTTGTATTGAAGAATCAGATAAGTTCCTACGCTAGATATGCGTATTTGGGGGGTGGGTGGTGCCGCAAAACGGCGAGGTGGGTCTGAATTGAATGGGGGGTTGGGGGGTCGCGCCAGGCTGGTACAGGCATCTAGACAAAGAAGCATTCTGCCCGTCTTGTGCTAATTTCCACGTCCCTGATCTTTGAAACTCAGGCTAGGACACGGAAAGCCTCTCAGAAGTCGTCAACGCAATACGAAAATCCGGCAACACCAACGAAATAGTACACAACCGCAAGCATGATGTGGTCGGTGGCGGCCGCAGCTGCAAAGAAAGTGCCGACAAAGGCACCGCCGGCAACAATTCGTGCAGCATCGCCCGCAGGCTTTAGCCATCTCACTGTCTCTGATTTCTTGGCATTGTCCCCACCTTTGACCGCGCACGTGCTCGACTGGATGCAGCAGAAGATTGCCAATATCGCGATGACCCCGGCCATGCGTCGTGCTTTCATGGCAAAGAGCCGGGCCATATCCGAACTCTGGAAGGCGTAAGTAGCGAACTGCGAGCCAACAGCTGCAGCTTGAAACACTGTTTTCGGTGACGATGGGCAGCTGTTCAGCATACAGCCCGGTGTGTAACAGCCGACATGAAACAGCAACATCAACCAATGTCCCTATGCTCCCATTATGCTGAATTCACCTTGACTTCTGCGGATCCATTGCCTGTTGCCTGTTGCAGATTCTAGCTCTAACACACCCTTAACCCCTAACCTAAACCCCAAAATTCTATAAGACCCCCCTTGCCCCTTTTGGGGGTATGGCACTTAGGTAGATAGGAGTATTGGGCTCTAGAGTGTGAATAGGAATTTTCATATTGTGTATTAGTAGGGTGGGGGGTGGGTGGTGCCATATACCCAAACTGGGCAAGGGGGTCCCTAACTTAGGGTTCAGGGGATTTTAGCCCTGGGCCTGGCCTGGGCAGCTTTTGAATGAGCCCCAATGCGAGGTTGCACAACACGTGTGCTTGGCAGCACTGGGACCAACGTGAGCTCAGAGGGGATCTGTACAAGTATCCCTCCCCTGAGGTCGTAGGGCTCAGAGTTCAGGGGTGAACGGGGGAAAGTAGGAACCTGATAAGAACCCCCTGGTTCTGCCAGGGCTCTTCCTATGCATCCCCCTTCTTTCGGGAGATCGAACCATGGGGGATTGAAATCAGGTTCTTACATTAAAGAAACGGAGGACTGGACAAGTTCCAGCACCGTCTCAGACCTAACTCTGCACTTGAGTCTCCCGATCTGCAGGGAGAGTCGGAAATCAATCCTTCAGGCATTGCGCGAGAACGCTCCGGTGTTGGAATGGCTGAAAAGCATGTCCATCTGCTTTGTAGAACTTGCTTTGGAACTCCACCCAATGCAACCGGAGGGTGTGCAGGAAGCATTCCTCACAGATCGGGTGAAGCACGAGCTCAGTAAACAAAGCTTGCCACACGTCTCCAAACACTATCTAGCCGAGGACCCTGCCTGCAAAACATGCAACAGGCAAACCGTACTGCTGACTTCTGCGACGAAGCTCCATCACGTCCATGCCACCCAGGATTGCCAGTGTCACAACAAACCACAAAGCGAAGCAAAAGTACATAGCCTCAACTGACATGATGATCACAGACATGCGGGCACAATCTGGCTTCTGTCTCCAAGACCAACCCCTCAGAACGGCAATGACAACACTGTGTACTCTTAGCGCGAGCAACCGCAGCAAGTTGTGTATTTGTCACAATGCTGATGCGAACAACTCGGCGCAGCCCTTCTACTCTGGCTTCTTGTGTGGAGAGCTGACGATAGCCGATCCGATAGCCCAAACTCTCAAAGCCTGTGGGGGCCTCGGGGAGTTCAGGCTTACGCACCTCATGGTAGTGAAGAAAGAGCACAATCGCCCAAGCTAGTAAGCATCGGAGTAACAATGAAAACTATGATTCATATTAGTTCAGATCGTGGTGGAGAAAAGAGGCTACAGGTAGCATCGCCATCAGTTACCATACTGGGCCTTATGCGGTCCATCATTTGTCGGTCAATAGGCTCGTATAAGTTGACAATTGCCGTCTCCATGTCAATATATCTATTAGGCGACTTCTGAGGTCATGGAGCTTCCTGATTCGAACTCCCATTGTCATTGTGTGAGGCGCAGGGTAGGGTCGGGGTAAGATGGGTCGGAACCGAAACTCACTTGATCCAAGCTGCAAAGATGTTCAGTGGCAGCGGCATCGCCATACCAGAGAGGAGAATCAGGTTAAAGAAAACGAGGGAGAGCTGCTGATGCGCCAAAGACAGTGCCTCCAAATCTCTTGGCGAGAAGATTGGGAACTGCCTCTAAGTTTTGCGGCCAGGATAGGATGTGAGCTCATGTGCATCCGAGCTGCCCAGAGGCGCAGGTATGATGCCGTGTGCGACACCGTCCCGAGAACGAACTCAATGGTCTCGATAACCTCGCACGGATTCGCACGGCCCACCACATAGTGCTCATGATCTGCAGCCGAGCGTTGGGAAGCCGGCTTGTGCGATTGTCACATGCACACACGCACACACAGACAAACAGATAAAAACACACTCTCTCTCTCTCTCTCCCTCCTCCCCCTCCCCCTCCCGCTACCTCTCCCTCTCGCGTCTCTGCGTCTCTCGCTCTCCCTCCCTTTCATGCTTGCTTGCAAGGCGGATGGGAACTGAGGTACTGGGCCCTCTTTCACAGGTCTTTGGGGCGACCCCGTGTGGATGCACTCTTGCCTGCTTGCTCTTGCTTGCAAAGGATTGTGGGAGTTAAGTGGGGGCTCACTCTCTCTTGATTGCTTGCCTGCTTGCGGGGGGGTTTGGGGTGCAAGCGCCCCTGGCCCGAAGGCCGACCCCTCACGGCGCGCGCCGGTCTGTCTGTTT